ATATAAGCATCTTATTCTTGACAAAATTGAACCATGAGAGAACTATGTGTGTATGGTGAGGGCTAGCCGATTTCATGAAGTGGTTCATTTCTCTCTAAGTTATTCCAGGTGTATTTGATGTTGTGTGAACCATTTGAGGTGTCACACTTGGGGCACTCGGCTCTTAAGCATCAAGGAATCAAGCTACATAAAAAAGGTATGTCTTCTAACTTGTTTTATTACCCAAGTATCAAAGATAGTATGCTAGATAGGGTAATACCTTGGAATATTCATATTTGCATGTATAATAGAGAAAACATAGATCCAAGGTATTTAGGGTTGCATGTACACTTAGGAGTGTTAGAATGCTCAAAACCCAACAGTGGTATCAGAGCCTAGGCTTGTTTTCACTTATACTTGATGCAAACTTGTTTTTTCAAAGCTGAAACTGTCCAGACCATAAAACTCAACAAGTTTATGCAAAAAACTCGACGAGTTCATCATTTTGGGCATGAACTCGACGAGTTCCTCAAGGAACTTGACGAGTTTTGGGTGCTGACAGCTTGCTGTTTGATGTTTTTGGCTGGAATTGGACAAGGAACATTACCCTAAGCTGTTTTTGAACTTGTAAACCTGTTTTGATGTGGTAATGTTCATGCTAATCCAATTTCAAAGATAATTGTCAATAGATTCATGTTTTGTATTAGTTTAAGGATTAGGCCAATAATTTCTCTTACAACTAAGTTATATAAAATTTTTATTGAGTTTTTCAATATTGTTTTGATACACTATTGATATTGTTTTAGCGCATTGCTATGAGTTAGTATTATAAAGTACATAACATGTTAGTTGTGCTTTATTTTAGTTTTTCGAAGTTGTGATTTGATTGAGTTTTGTGTTCAGGTCATGAGTCATTCATTGTTCTACGTCGTGAGTCATTCATTGTGAAGTAGATATCGAGACCATGCACCTTAATAGGTTGATTCGTTTCTTCCTATTGTGGGAGTTACTTAAGAACCTTGATATGTTGGATTTATTCTTTTTATCATGGAAGTTTATCTAAATACCTTTATAAAGTGGGATTTTCCTTTATATTTTGGGAGTTGCTACGAGGTGGATCGTAAGTGAATGACCTCATATGTAAGCTTTTGAATCCATAATAAAACACTTAGCATTCATAAGACTTCATGCTAAACTATGGTTGTGATGTAGTATTGTACACGTTGCAAAATCTTATGGGTTTTGTTTTAACATATTTTGTACACATTATATGTCATGACTATTATATCAACCATGGTTTTTTAAATGCTTTAAAAATATTGGGGCGTAACAAGAAACAACATTACATGTACCTCCTCAACTAACTTTCTAGTCGACAAAATTTTAACTCTAAGGCAAGTCACTCCAGGAGTTCCAAATAACCAAGATAAAATGAATATCATATGTATGAAATAACAAGCTTGTTGGTGTTTATTCAAGATAAACTTAACATCTAGAAGATGATTATTGGTTTATGATATTATTTAGGCTTGGGGGAGTGGGGGTTGCATAAACATGGCAAAAGAGTATGTGGCACCTAGGTGAAATGACATATACCGCCCCACTAAACATGGCATTGCAAGATAGCAAGTTAAATGGTATTGGAATGTCGAGTCATATATCTTTTTCTCTTTCTTCCACTTTATATATTTTATTCTTATTCTTTCCACAATGCACCACTCCCTCATATATGGAAAGATGATATAGAATATGGAAAAAATGGTGTGAAGTGTCTTTGCAATGGTTACCATTCTCCCTAGCCTTATTATCATGTAAATAACCTCGTAGAAGTCAATTTTAGCTACGGATAAACATAAAAGTTATATACATATTAAACTTGTGTCTTCGAGTATATATAGACCAAGACAATACTCTAGTCTAAATAAGAAACAAAGACCTCATCACATATACTACAATTTGATGATATACCATATTTATTTTGATTAACCCATCAATCTATACTTTGTGTTGCAAGACAAGTTGGAACTTCAGAATATAACTTTTATCATTGTTTTATATTTTGTAGAAATGTAAAGTAACCAGAGTTTTTTATACAAAAATACACATTTAATTTAAATAAAAAGGAGAACCTATATCGAAAAGGGATCATTAATAAACATTATATATATATATATATATAATTGAATATACCCTTAAGGGCATATAAGTTTAGGTACCCAAACTCACTATACTACGATCGTTTTGTATCATATATATTGTAATCCTAAGCTTATATACCTTAAAGGGTATATATATATATATATATATAT